TATTCATTATTTTTCCTGTGCAAAGTAGATGTTGCAACTATACAGCACATTTTCAGACGTTTGAACTTTCTGGTGATTTCTTGGAAGTATAAATTGCTCATCACAATGAAATTGTGGAGGATTGTAACGTGATGCTCTAATGAGTACCTTTACCATTTGAGAGTGAGATGATATACAAGGAAATCTGATTATAACACATAAAGCCTACGTTCTTATCACAAATTTCTATTCCTACAGATGTAGTATTGTTAAAATCTTATTTTGTTTTATTTCATTTCTGTAAATTTGTTCCTATGCTTAACTAATTAAGCACTACACCATCAAGGATCATGGGGAAGTGGATGTATAGAGCCACATTTTCTTGACTTTGGCACTAGTTGGAGGTGAGTGGTCAGCTTCACACCCTGACCACTTTACCACAGGGGAGAGAGCCTGCAGTACCCATTGGATAGGAGGCTAGGTGAGTCCCAGAGCCGGTCTGGAGCACGTGGACAAGAGAAAATTCTTGACCCCACTGGGACTACAACTTCAACTCCTCTGTCATCCAGCCCATAGCCAGCCACTTTACCAACTGAGCTATCTTGGCCCCTATTTCATTTCTGTAAAGAATTTATTAAGTACAGGTCCTGTCTGCGTTGATTATTGATTAGGTTGAATATAATGTCAAAGTTCCCCACAGCAGTTGTGCATTAGATGTATCTCCATACCAAACTTTTACACGTAGCTCTGAGAGATCATTAGATACTGTCATCAAAAAAAGAGGTAAAGAAAATTTTCACATGGCCACCTTTTTTTTGCATTCTGAAAAATAGCAACTTAACAAAAGTTACACTGAACATGTTAGTCTAAAAGTCACTCTCTTGGTATATATTAAGGAAATGCTCAGTTTGAATCTCAGCATGACACTGATTATCCTACCCCAGGTATCACTTGGCTTTCCTCAGTTCTTCCAGACAAATGCTTAGATACTTCCTCAATTAGACATTCTTTCAAATCCTTTCCAATTTATCTGTCATCCTGGCATCTGAAACTATATATATATGTGTGTGTGTGTGTTCTTGATAATTATTCAATAACACACAAAAGTTGCTCACATTCAAGGACCTACTATGATATATCATTTCAGAAACCTAAATGAAATGTCCCAGTGTCCCAGTTTCACACATACATTCTTATTACTGACTGTAGGAAGTTAAAAAGTAAAATATTGTTGTGGCCACCAGAGGCATACTGTTGATATAAAGTGTTGTGAAAATCGTTCAAACTGAGGGAGAAGGGCATACACATGCATGCACCACGCAGCCTGGTGATCTCAAGCACCTTTTTTCTTTCTATTTTTCTTTCTTTTCTGTCTCTTCATTGTTTAGAAAAGAAAAGTAGGCAAGTAGTCTAACAGTGGAAGGAAGGCTTAGGTGTCAAATTTATTCTTATTAATCATTTGTTTTGATTAATATAATAGAAGGTAACAGGTTCAGCTTTCACTTCTATTAAGTTCTAGGGTCTGTATTACAATATATTTATATACTGCACTAACATCAGTTATTTATCAAGCAATTAGTAAGACCCTTTCACATATTATTGTCATTCAATTTGTTCCAATTTTAATGTATTCAATAAGAATATTTGGTTCCCTAACATAAATTTCAAACATTAAAAGGAGGCTCTGTATGTGTACAAATGATGAACAAAGTGACCCATAAAAAGAATGGTTACCCAGAAATAAGGAATGTATACCATCATGTCTAGACATTTTAGGGGCTCTGTAAACATGATATTTGCATTGATTCAACTACAACAATATGTATGTAGGCTACAATCCCAAGACTTTAGTAGTAATTTTGTTGCTTTTCTATCCTCAGTATCATAAAGAAGCCTATGAGTTCAACCTTTTGAAGTTGTGCTGTATGTTTTTTATAATGTGTATCAACCCCTTTAAGCTGAAATGTAGGATAGTAGTACTGCTCATTATTTCAGCATGATTTCAGTAACGTGCTGCCACCATCACGTTCACATGCATTCCTGTATCAAGTAGTATTGCTGCCCTCAACATCTGAAAGCTATGACCACAGAAAAATCATTTCTTTTACAACCTGTTCCTTGTTTCTACCCTGCATCAGTGGTTGTGTTGTTATGATTTGTATTTGTATTATATATTCTCATGAAAGGATGAAACATATTCTTGATTTGAAAGCATTTTATCACACAATATTTCATTGCTAAAATAAGCACTGGAAGCCTTGTATACTTATACCATAACATAGTGTTCAAGTATTGTATTTCATTAAAGGCGTTTTAAATGATTCAGATTTCATCTTGTAAGTACCACTATTGTGTTATAATTGTCTGTACAATTTCAGTTGTAGGATGCACAGAAATTGCGTAATTAGAACCGTAGTCATATTGAAAGTGTTATTTCTGTGATAACACTGTGACTGTATAGGTTGGTGTAGCATTAATGCTGCAGACTCATATTCAGTAGGTATTTATTTCAAATTGAGACACAAGTTATCCTCACTGAGGTGTTACATTGTTTTCTTTAGTCCTTCCAGGCAAGTGTCAGGATAGTAAGTTGATTAGGCTGTGATCGGTTCATTCATAATCTTTTCCAATCCATCGGTCATCCTACCAGTCAATACTGTACAATCTAGCTACTGAGAGCGCCAGTGCCACACAAAGTGTAATCCTGTAATTACAGTAGGGATTATGTAGCGATAATACCATTCATTATTAGTAAGTGGAAGATGTAATAATGGATAAATAATACCAAGAAACTATTCACGAGCTTCATGAACCACATGAAACCGCTGGATTTGTTGTGTACAGTTGATAAGATTGAGATGTACGAAAAAAATTAGTAGGTGGACTGTAAATTAAATAGGCATAAACAAGTTAATTTTATGTAAGATTTGAGGCTTTCACGGCGGTGACTATGAAGAACGCAGTCTTCTGGGATTTGGCACCGTGTATATGTGGTGTTAACCGACGTTTCGGAGGAACGTATCGCCCCCATCTTCAGGGTTGAAGAAGTATAAGTAAATCTGCAAGCGACAACACCGTGAGACACGGTCAAGCAGACTGCTTGTTGTGTTGTCGCTTGCAGATTTACTTATACTTCTTCAACCCTGAAGATGGGGGCGATACGTTCCTCCGAAACGTCGGTTAACACCACATATACACGGTGCCAAATCCCAGAAGACTGCGTTNAAACTTATAAGAACTGGAGAGAGGGACTTAGGAGAGAACATTTTTCCTCTTTTATTAATAAATTTTAGGAAGCCAGATTTTATGGCTCTGGGAATTAATTTATTCTCACAAAAGTAAAGGTTGTAACAGGTAACATTATTTATTTCCTTTAAAGTGGGTTCCTTCCTAAATGAACAGTTATGACATCTGTTAAAATACCTGTGGTCTTTTTGAAACATCTTTCAGGTCTATATCACATTTTGGATGATAATCAGAGACTATTGAAATTCATTTCCTCTAAGGTGTATGAAATTTTGTGGAATAGAAGAATTTTATTTAACAAATGTGTGGAATATGTCACATGGATAAATAGAGGAACCTTGTGCTAGACCGGTGTGAGAGTGTGTTACTTGAAACTCCTTTTCCTGAGCATGCGTTTGTCAGGTTATATATCACAGACCTTTTATAACAGCAAATAAAGCCTGTGTCTCTCTGTAAAAAAAATTAAATGCATAGCAGCTTTACTGTAAAGAACACGGGCTTCATATCTCATCACCAGAATGCAGGACACAGTCTAACTATAAAGAGAACTAATAAATCTGTGTTAATGGTCAAATATTTGGGAACACCTTAAAGAAACCGATGTTGAATTCTTGGAAAATTATGACTAAATTAAATTTTAGAAATCCATTGTACCGTTCAGTTTGGAACCTTTCATTTTCCTCTTTTTTGAATCTGATAACAGCAGAAAACGATTATGAAATCAGTGGATTAACAAGATTTACATTATTTTGTTTTCACATGTTTGGTTTATAAGTTGGTTAACTAGAACACAATAAACTAGACTGTACTAAGCTGTAATCCATAATATAGTATATGAAATTCCCAGAAGCATTCTTTGCAGATTAGTAATACTATTTGATGTCTTCATAAAATCTGATGAACAGCGTACAATGTACTGGTGCATGAAGAAGTCAGTTTATGCCCCCAAGTAACATTTGACTTCGTATAGGTCAATGTGGCTAAGGTTGACAAGTTTGAATGGAAGTCTACTATACTAAATTTCCTGCACCATTAAAATAAACTGTGCTTAGCACCTTCCCAAAATACAATTTGTAGTATAACAGAAGAATTTAGTCACATCTTTCTTTTACTGTAAGAAATGAGTCATTGTTTTTGTTTAGTTTAATCATAAGTAACAACAACAGGAAACAATTTTCAAACTTGTCTGAAATTGTTTGTGAGCCAAGAAAATAAATAAAAAGAAATATGCCACCTTCCATAATATGAAACATGCCGCACTGGTATAAGATATTTCCCTTTAGCGTAGTAAGTGCATTATTCTCCCATTTCTAACAACCCAGAGTTTGATTCACAGTTGGTACTAGCAAGATCTTCGGTGAAGGAAGTTACATTTGTATACTTTCCTAGGGTTCTTCCATTTGTGTTGCCTTTCATTTCACCATTTTGTGTGTTTGGTTATTATCAATATGTAATAACTCAGCAACTGATACAATGTTAGTCAGTTTTATAAATGTGATTATATAATAACATAAATATTAATATGTAAATCGAGAAGTTGTTCCGTTATACATATGATGATTGTAAACAAAACTAAAATGGTGAAGATTAACAGACCAACACCATTGCACCAGTCCCCTGTTGCACCTGCTATGTACAAACCTAACCTTGTACAGCTTTCAGATGTGTTGGCAAGCAATCCCCGCATCACACTAACCAGTAAGTTCATAGCTTGATCCATGCCCTTTCTAACATGCACATTGTTGTCTCTTTCTCTGTCTCTTGTGTGTGCACAGTTTCCCTGGCTTCTGCCGTCTCCGCATGCACACCAAGGGCGGGTCCCCGGTCGCCTTCGTCGAGTACCAAGATGTACGTTTTGCTGCGCAGGCCATGACCACCCTTCAGGGCTCCTTCCTGCTCTCCTCCGACCGTGGTGCCATTCGTATCGAGTACGCCAAAAGCAAAATGGCCGAGGTTGGTTGTTTCCTAATCTCGCAACCACTATTCTGTGAAATATCTAGGTAGCTTATCTAGATAGCACAGAGAACAACTGTGAAGTACATTTGGCTTCCTTCCTGACAGAAAATATCGAATTACTTTAAAATTATTATCATGCAACCCAAAAACACATTTCCTTTATTTTTTATTTGTAAAGAAATTTTACTTATATCTCTTGAAGTTGTTAATTAAAGGATATTTAAAAGTGAACCACTTCTAGCAGAAGAGTAATAAATCATCTTTCTTTAAACTATACTTTGGTTAGTGAGGAAGGAATTCATAACAGAAACAGAGTTTTCAGATTAATGAAAAAAGAAACAATATCAGTGTGCCTGATTATGACCAAGTAGGCCAAAACAGTGATGAATTTTAAAATGATTTCATTTTAAATCTTAACACTGTTGCATGGTGAACTATGAACGGTAAACAAAATCAAATATAAATTAAAGAACAAAGAGGTTAACTATCAAGCTAACTCCTAAAATAAAATATGTGCCCACTGTAGTACTTGTAATGAACAAGTCATTTGTATTGTGCTTAACTATTGTCTTCAGAATACAGATTTTGAACTGATTTTAAAGAATCCATATTGTAACTTTCAAAACTTTTGAGCTTAACAATTTCCTTCATGATAGAGTGTGACAATTGGAAATAGAATTCCATATGGAAGGAAGTGATCACTAGATTGGAAGAAAACTTTCCTTCTCACAGAAAATGAGCTACTCTTCCAACTAACATATCTTCAAGTAAATATCATTTCTCAGTCAGATTAGAGTTTAATAAAAACCCTATGAGTCCTCACATAAGTACTGTAAATGGTGTGTTGCACACCCAAAATAAAAACTACATTACCTTGTATTACCTTCATGTATTCATAAAGGTTCTCACATAGTGAGTCACTATCATATATTGTCCTCGTGCAAAAGAATTGTGCTGATGCATGTGTTGATTCAAGATGCATAGCATCACATTTTTCAGAATATAAATTCCATTTATTCTTCAGTTGCCAGCACCATAGTGATGGGCATCTAAATCTGGACAGTAAAGGCTACATAGTGAATTTACTTCCTTCATCAATTATATGAAAGGATTTACACTAAGAAAGAGACCTGAATATCAAATTACTACTTATGTATTTATTAGACTTGAAGGCATGTTAAGGTCATCAGTGAAATCAACAATACAGCAAGTAGTATTTCAGTATCTCAACTGATTATTACAGCCAGCTTATGTATCACACTCAGTCCTTGACAGTTATGGCACCATACATTCCCAGTTCTCTCTTTTATGAGCAATTTACCACTTCAAAACACTGCCAAAAAATGATGTCAATATTTTCCCTCTTTTAGACATGTTCCTTTGATTCTCTGGTTGTCTAGGTTTTAGCTTTTATCGGTTTCTTCATTGGTCTGGAATGTATCCCTTTTGAATGGTTTAAGCATTCATGGGTCAACACATCTTTAAGATTCCAGAAACGTGAAGAACATGCAATACAAACAAAAATAATTTGTTGCCAAATCCTTCCTGCTAAGGACAGTTTAATTTAAAGAAGCATAATTATTTGTGTGGTACTTCTTCAGATATCAGACACCACTACTGAAGAAAGATTTTCACTTTGTATTGAATGTAACATAGGGTCTTTGAGAGACTTGGAGGAACAGTTACAGTTTTATTCTTCTTGGTATGCATTACTGGTATGTATGTGGTATGTGAAGATCAGAAAACTCTGAAGACAATTTTTGATTCGTTTCATTCTGGTCCGTCACACTAACAATTACAAATATAAATTACTCTGTCCAATGTGACCTGTAAGTTTTTTACTACATGAAAACTTAACACCCTTACATGTTTCGGTCTCTGTGGACCATCTTCAGAGGGCAAACATCACTACAAATAGGAAACCACCATCACATAAGTTGTTTAGACGTAAAGTACATACACTTATATGCTACAATGCATAGTACACAAAATAGAACATTTCACAAACACAGCAGTTTCCTGGGAATGTAAAGTTTTTAAAAAATTATATAAAATTTCTTGATGCTAATTAAATTTTTTTTTGTATTGTCAATAATTAAAATTCGTAAACCATGCAGGCTTGTGTTCATCCTCCCATCGTCCCTTTTATATGGGGCAGATATTGTGCCACCCGACTATCTCTACATCAAGATAGCCAGGTGGCACAGTATCTGCCCCATATAAGAGGGACGATGGGAGGACGAACACGAGCCTGCATGGTTTACGAATTTTAATTATTGACAATCCAAAAAAAAAGTGATGGTGGTTTCCTATTTGTAGTGATGTTTGCCCTCTGAAGATGGTCCTCAGAGACCGAAACATGTAAGGGTGTTAAGTTTTCATGTAGTAAAAAACTTACAGGTCACATTGGATGGAGTGATTTATATTTGAAGACAATTTTTCATCTTTTCATCAGACATACCAAGATTTTAGTCAGAAAACCTGAAGGAAATACTTAGGCATAAATGGGATGATAAAGTTAAAGTCGATGTTAAAGAAACAGGAAATGAGGCTGTGGATAGGGTTCAAGTGGTTTGGGTTACAATCCAGTGTTCTGCTCTTTTGAACATGATAATGAAGCATGAGATTCCGTAAAAGGCCTGGAAATACTTAACTAACTCTTTGAATAACAGCTTTTGAAGGAGGATGTTGATCCAAGGAGTTTGTTTGCTATGAATAAAATTACACTTTATGTCATCATATGTTGAAAAGGAATTTATCTAACTGAAATTCAAATTGTAATACATCGTTCTTAACCATTATGCAGCACTGGTTGTATGTATGTAGGTATAATTGTAGATTTATATATTTTTGGAGATATTTCACATGCATTCTTTCCCTGCTGACCAATGTAGCTGTGTAATTAGCTTAGACCCCCCCACCCCCTTTTGGAGTGTACTGCATGATCCCAAATGGCACCACACTAAGGTGTCATCTAGTTTTGAGTACAGTGGACCATCTCTGTCACTACATTGCACATTTTACACAATGTTTTCAAAGCTGGATCCATTTCTGTCATGACCAAGGTCTAATGGTCATGACTAGAAGCCCAACTGAGTGGTGAGTGGTATCCCTCCTCAACTTACATGTGATAGTGGAAAACGATTCAGCTGCCAAAACACTGTGAATATTCAATTCAATTCAATTTTATTTCATCCATGGATTTTATTTCATACATGATATGGGACAAGTCAAAGATTAATATTAATACTAATACTAAATAATAATAAGTATATAATAATACAGAAATAATATGATAATAATAATATAGTAATACAGAGATAATAATATGACAATATAATAATAAATGACTATAATAATTTAGCAGTCTTGAAAACAGTTTCTGTAGTCTTGAATCCTCCTTAAGATGGCACCAGGCAGATAATTCCCAGAAGCAGTCACGAAGTGTTATTTCCTGGAGAGATAAATGAACTGAGCAGTAAGCGTTCTCATGACTTATATTATTCAACACTATGAGGCTAATTGATTCTTGGAATATATAATTTAGACTGACTAGAACTCTTTTCTAAAAAATAAAATACTCGTCTACACTGTAAAAATAATAAATGAACTGAGCAGTAAGTGTTCTCATGACTTGTATTATTCAATACTATGAGGCTAATTGATTCTTGGAATCTTGGAATATATAATTTAGACTAACTAGAACTCTTTTCTAAAAAAGTAAGACACTCGTCTACACTGTAAAAGCAATGATCAAACAGGAAGTTTTTCAAAGCATTCTTGAATCTGTATAGTGCTGGTGTCTCCTTAATGTAATATGGTAAATGATTGAACATACAAAGTCCAGTATTAATAAACTGTCTTTGCATAAACTGGTATTACATGAAACAATATATAGGTCATCTTTTCCCCTTGTATTATATGAATGTATTTCTGAATTGGTTGCAAGAGTCTTCAAGTTTGATTTTGTGTATACCAGCGTTTCATAAATATACAAGCATGGTAGGGGCAATATATTTAAATAATTAAAATACTGTTTACAACTAGTAGTTTTCTGAATTTGCATCATAGCTCTAATAGCTCTCTTTTGCAACTTAAAAATCAATTTAGCATTTGGTGAGTTGCCCCAAAATAATATTCCATATGATAACAAAGAATGANTAATGAAAGTAGGCATAATATAGAGCATGAACAGACTCCAGCCCTGATACTCTTTTTACTACTCCTAGACCAAAGCATATTTTATATAACTTTTTTGCCAGTTCCTGGTTATGCATATCAAATATACTCTACCTAGACAGTGGACAGTGGACAGTGCGAAATATAATATACATGCAATAAATCAGTTATTTTCACAGACCCTTAGAGAATCATTAGATATTCAACACTCTATTATACTGGCCTGTGAGGTTGCAAAATACTGCATGTGTACCTTATCAATATGTGGCATAGGCTGTCTATATTCATCAGTGTATGACATGCATGCTTCCAAAATAAGCTGGGTTTTTTTATTGTAGCAAATTCCATGATCTGGGGTACATTATAAATGCAGTCATTCAAACGTGCTTATTCATTCTGTGATGTATTCTCACTGTATGACATTTCCCTGGGTTCAAAATTATATCAACCCACAGTGAACTTGAATAAATTGTTGTGATGCCTCATATTTATGGTTTGTGGTTTATTGTTAGTATCTCTCACACGGCATAGAGAGAGATGGTAGGATTGTAGTGAATAAAGGATGGGAAAGGACATGGAAGAAAGCATCAATAGTGTAAGTTCCTAGAATTTACCTGAAGAGACTGGAGACTGAGGATAGCCAGTGCCCTGGCTGAGATTTGAACTGAGCACCTCCCACATACAGTTGAGAAGCATTACCTCTTAAGCCAACTTGCTCAGAGGATATCTTGTAAGGCCTTATACATTTCCTACACCTGATTCCCTTTCTCAAGCATATAAACTAATTTTGTGTCATCATGCTGATGGATAGGTAACAG